GCCATCAGTCAACGGGTTTCTGCCCAAGGATGTAACAAACACTACTTTATCGCAACGACACTCTCAAAGAATACTTTGACTAAAGGGAGAATCGAGTTCAATCTATCGTTCTCAACCAAAACTAGGTGATAACGATCAAGCCATAGGCAATCTATGAAGGAACATGAAAGTACAGGAGAGGGTCTCGACCGGCCCAAAGATCGTCTCAAGTGTGGCGAGTGAAGAAGTGGCTGACGCACCAGACTGTGGCTGAGCTCTTCACTCCACACCACCACGTGCCCAATTAGGTAATAAAGGTACAGGAGTACTTGGGAGCCCGGTCCCGCGCCCAGGCCGCCGAACTGCACATCACACACTTGGCTCCAATCATCTCCAGTCAACCTACCAAGGAACGAGAGGAACCCAGGCGAGTATGACATCGCCACGTCCAAAGCTCTCTCCACCGCCAGTCCTGCCAGTGTCTTTCTCTCAGTCCGTCTGCTAGCACACTGGGATATCAGACCAAGGAGACCATGATATCACCCGTCCACTTGGCACACACCCGTCTCGTCTCGCATTTCTACCACGCTGGCAGGCCGCAGCATCGCCCGTCCATCGTGCCCGTCCCCGTCTCAGCATGATTGCCCGACAAGGACCACCCCCGGCCGACGGCGTCCATACCCCCCGACTGCCCGGTCCTTTCTGTGTTCTCTGCTCTTCTACAGCTTCTGCAGAGCCCACTTTCAATCACTCCCTCTGTTTCCATCTCGTGCCAAAGAAGGCTGCAGGAGTTCTTCGGTCTCGCCATTCGTAACAATTGCAACATGATATGTAGTCGCAAAAATCCACCTGTTCCGTGAGTGAGTGGACTCGTGTTAGTGTCGGGGTGTCACTGTCACTGTCCCATCCACTCCCATCCCATCTGAACATCCAAACAGGGCTGCGCGGTGCCTGCGTCCGGTGCAGCTCGCTCGCATGCACACAAGCACATGCACATGCACGCCTTTTTGCCTCCCTTCCCCTCTACCTACCCTTCCCATCTGATCTTCCAGCGGAAAATGGAGTAGACAAGCGAAGGAAGCAAGCGGCGGCGACGGTGCCCGGGTACGCCGGTGTGAGTGTACACAGTAGTAGAGACAGGCAACAGAGAAACAAGGTTATTACGGCACCTCCCTTACCCATTTACTTTTCTATTCGTGTCATTGGGCGGAGTGCGCGTAGGAAGAGTGAGGAAGGCAGTGCCACCCATCGTAGAGTTTGGATATAAGTCACCACAGCCCGAATGCTCTTGCCTCGTCACCTGCCTCTCATTCACCTGCTTCTCATTTCCTCCACTTCCAGGTCGATTTTGGTTCACCTCTCCGCGTCACTCCCTCTCTTCGAACTCACCCCCTTCACCTACTCTTTCTCAACACAACACAAAACACAAACCTCGACCCAAGCAGAAAATGGACAAACCAACCCACAGCCCCGCCACCCCGGCCCCAACCAACATCCCAACACCGGACCCGAACCCGTCAGACAACTACACGACCTCCGGCCCGCCCCCAGAATACCAACAACACCAACACGCACACCTCAACGCCCAACCCACCGGCACCTCGATGCCAAAATACGGCGGCCCATCCCCTCACAGCCCGCCCCCTCCCCAGAACTACGGAGGTTACGTCCCGCCGCAAAGCTACCCCCTCCAAACCGGCGGGCCCCAAAACTTCCAGCCCTACGGCACCCCGCTGCCTTCCCTCGGCCCCCACCCGGCGCCCGTCGAGTGTCCCGAGTGTCACGCTCGGGGCGTCACGGCGGTGGAGTATACCTCCGGCGGCTTCACGCACGCTCTCGCTGCGCTGGTGTGCTTTGTGAGCTGTTTGGGGTGTATCCCCTACCTCTTTTCCTCGTTGAAGGATGCGAGGCATAAGTGTTCCAAGGTATGTTTCTTCGTCTGTATTCTGAAGTGGTTAGGAGGGTCGTCAGCTAACAAAGTAACAGTGTGGAATTCCGTTGGCGACATATCACCGCAGCGGTAGAACTGAAGTCCATTGGCACCAGGCTTACAATGCCTAGGCGATGGCCCGAGCAGGATAGGAGCCTGCAACATATCTAGTCAGGGGCGGTCGTTGGGCTACGAAAGCCGGCGGATAATTTGACCCAGGCTGAGGTGGATGGGCTAGAGCAGTATTCTGGGGGTCGAACCAGTCTGATTATGCGAGGCGTAAAGGATACCCATTCTAGTTTTTTTTCTTTAAGAACACGAATTCGCGCTTGAAGCGGCTGCATTATATTTCATTCAAAGGTTTCCACTTGCTGGCGCTACAGTTTTGCCGTTGTATGCACTCAACCTCTAGAGCTGGGCGCCGAGCGTATGGCCACAGCCGGGATATCGTTGACGGGGCATCATTCTCCATGCAGTTTATCCATACAGTAGTCGTCCACTGTGTACCATCCCTTTCAACATCATATCAAATATTAGTCCTCATCTGAGGCGAGAGCCAAATTGAAAGCCCAGCGAGGACATGTTGCGGGTATCTATTCGATCATGTACAAGCTCTCCTAAAATCTATATCATCAGCGAAGGCATCACGTAATCGTCAGATCGTACGCCGTACTTTTGACCCCTTTTGACGCCTGCCTCCGGTTTGCCCATGCTTCTCGTGTGAATCGTTACGCCATGATCCTGTATTTGCTCCCGTCGCGATTACTCAAGTTGGCGACTCAGCATCCCGTGTACACACGATGTACACACCACGGCGCGAGTCGCCCTCGGCAATCGTCGTGACGTTGTCTTGTGGTGTCATCTGCCCCATGTGTCATCTGTCGTCAAATGACCTCATGGTGAGAGTGCTGTTTAGTTGGCGAATATGCGCACATTTAGGTCGACACTTCCCGTTGCGATGACGCAGCGTATTGAGATATCCTGGGGCTTTGCCACCGCTTTGCTCGGTGTGCCGTTGGCACCATTGGCACCATCGCCATTGGTGGCCGCCTCCCTTGCAATGCCAGGGGCCCAGCGCAGACAAGAAACAAAGTGGCCGTGGACGTCGTCCAGAACCTTGACGCATTTGCCCTCTTGCGCCAGATCCCAGCATCGCAAAGTCTTGTCATCAGACACACTAAGCAAGTACTTGCCGCCGGGGTGGAAAACCAGCGCGCGTACCCAATTGTCGTGTCCCAGCAGAGTCTTGATGCAGTTTCCACGAGCGTCCCATAACCTGATTGCCTTGTCACGGCTGCCCGTTGCCATGAACTCGGCCGTGTTCGTTGCGGGCGGAGCCTTCTTCAGGCCGGCCAATGACGCCAAGTGACTGTAAGCCGTCGGCGGTGCGAGCGTGCAGCATTCTACAACGTGCTCGTGTCCAACCAGCATCAACTTGACTTCGGGATTTGAGGCGTTGATATCCCAAAGGCGGCCCGTCTGGTCGTTCCCTGTTGACAAGAGGTAGCGTCCATCCGACGATGGGCAGACGTCTCGTACCCAATCCGCATGCCCGCGCAGTGTCTTGACGCAGTAACCCGTTGACACATCCCAGATTCGTAGTGTCTTATCACGACTCGCCGACACGAGAAGGTTTCCCGTGGCACCTGCGGCTCCTGAAGGAATGAAGCGAACCGCACTGACGCTGTGGTCGTGGCCAGGCAACGTCCGAATATTCTTGTACTCGTCTGAGGGGTCCCATAGCTTGATGGTCAAATCACTCGAGCATGAGGCAAGCAGCGTCGCACCGCGGGGCCCTCCAAAATCAACATCCAAGACGGCCTTTGTGTGTCCCTTGATCGTCCTCTCGAGTTCGCCTAGCTCCCAGTCCCAGATTTTGATGGTGTAGTCTTCCGAGCCAGAGGCGAGCGACGAAAAGACGGGGTGAAATGCTACGCAGGTGATCGGGTCGCGGTGGGATTGCAGGGTGTGTCGGGCGGGGGAACGTGGCAGCCAGCTGGTGGGGTCCTGATTCCGTCGAGATAGTGAGGTTGGTGTCGCATTGTCGAGTTCTGATTGCAGAGCAGCACTTCGAGACTCGAGTTCCATGATCTAGAGAGAACATTGTTGGTCAGCGCCGCTGGAAGCAATCATCCAAGGCCATTACGGACGAAACGAACCTTTTTCTGCAGTCGCACTACACTGGTCCATTTCTTCTCCAGCAATCCCTCATACTTCTTCGAAGTGGCGGCATCGAAAGAGTCGCCAATCTGCAATTCTTCTCTGAGGGCATTTGCGGCATTAGGGAGGTTGCTCGAGGAGAGATACGCGATAATGGCCTTGTGCCTGCCACCGGCTGGTCAGTATGTCGCGTCCATGGCCACTCTTTGGGCGAAGAGGGTGGGAACCTACAGCTCCTCTGCTTGCCGAGGGGTGAGGATTTGGCTCATCCTGACAGACGGTGGAAGCTACGTAAGTAAAGGATTGCTTGTAAGTAATTACAAAGTTGAGAGGCACTGGTGGCACAAGATGGCACACACGAGCAGATGGAAACGAAAGATGTGTGATTTGGTGGTTTGTTATCGAGGTGCGTCTGCAAGGCGGTGCTCGGGGCTCCGTCTGTCGGTGGTGGTGGTGGTGGTATCGCAGCAACCGCGATGGGCGCGCCACGTGCAATCGGAGGTGGCAGAAGCTGGCCGGAAGTAAAGACGAGGCTGATGGAAATTCGGAGGCGGTCGGGGAGGACAGGAATTGGTAGCCTCGTTAATCGGATATTTTATTGCAGCGACGGCAGGATGCAGAGGTCAGGCAGGTCAGGGTCGAATTGGCGGGGACCAGGGCCAAGTGGCAGATATTCGCGGAGTTGTAAAGGCGGTGTCGGTGTTGTTGGTGTCCAAGCTCTCGATATTCTTTGGCTGTGCAAGGGTGGATAGTTCCTCTCTGTGTGTGTATCTTTCCTTCAGCGGGTGTTTTCAGTCAGGGGTTGGGCTCCCAGGCGTTGGGCAGCATATCTTTGTGCGTTACAACAGCAGATTGCAGGATTGAATCGAGTTGTCTCTTTCAGAGTACGTGGGTATGTCTAGGAGCAGTGACTTTTTGGAGGGGAGACAATATGTCCAAGAATGCGAGGCGAGACGAGACGAGGGGTGCAAGTGCGAGGCTCGGCCAAAAGATGACGCTTGAAGGTGGGCATGAGCCGGAAAGGCGAAATGTTTCATGTGCTTCGGGCTGCGTTGGCTGCGTAGGGAACTCCCTGAAGAATTGGTGGGAGATGAGGCGGTGCGTATGGCACTGGCGGGGGGCCCTCCGATATGCGAGTCCCAGATATTCTGTATGGAGTACGCTGTATCTGTATAGGCGTATGGGACCCTGGGGAAACTTCTTCGACGACGACGAGTGTTCAATGCGTGTGGCACTGGGTAGAGGGAAAAGATGGGAGAGAAGAGGTCAACCATGTTTGGTGGGGTGAAATGAAGTGTGGCTGGTGCAGCGCATAGGCACGAGAGATGGTAGTGTGGCTGGTGCATTGCCAGCTGGTCTCTTTCAGGTACTTCGGAGGGCTGAAGTTGTACGTCCCTCTTTCCCCCAATGACATCACAGTGTTGGACCGTTTCTATGGCAATAGACAGAGCTTTCATTGGCCTGAGATTCTTCAGCGTCAACATGTGGTTCAGCCACTTTTGCAGCTGTCACAGCCAACCAGCCGTAACAGTCTATTCGGTCAATTGATTCTTTGGCAAAAAGACATTTTCAGCATCATTGCTTAAATATTAGGGGGCAAACTACTACACTACCGTGCAAGCCTCAGGGTGGAAATGCCTGATTCATGGCATGATTTGCTATCTTTAAATGAGTGGATATGTTAGAGTGGCTTATAACGGCCATTAATGCGCAAATTGAGCAAGCGCATCTTGGGTGCTTGGACCTGGAAGCAGAGAGGAAAAAGGAAGCAATTTGGTTAGATGGCTGGCCCTGGCTTTCATGACTAAGGCTCTGAGGGAACAAGCACACAAGGTAAGCCCAAGGTAAGCCCAAGGTGAAGGCAGGTGAAGGTAGGTGAATAGCCAATGCCCCGCCATCCATGCTATCAAGTCTTATCGAGTGGTAGAGAATTGAAAGTCATCATGTGATCTGTGTTGACCCGGGAGACCAGCGACCCAATCATATTCATGCCCAATTGCCCGATGCGCGCCCATCTGCTGTGTTCCCCACACACATACAAACACGTCAGGCCAGGAACAGGGAGAAAAGGGCGCCCAATGCAGGCGCCCACCAACTGGCAACCCTGACAGAAGCCTTGAGGTGAACAGTGAACCAAATCCAAGCAAAGCACCTGCTTGCTGGGCCCGTCCCCTCCGCCCTTGTCCCGACAACCAAAATTCCCTGTGCTCTTCGGACCAGCACAAACAAAAGAAACCCCAGCCGTACTTTTCCTCCACATTCCACAACCCTCAGACTGGCGACGTTGGCTTTGTACCTTCACCTGCAACAACCACACTACGGGAACTACCTCTAGCCTCCTTTTCTCTGTCATCTCAAAGACCTGATTTGACTTCCTCCAGTCCCGGTCCCTAGTTTCCACGAGAACCATCACCGCACATACCTCACATCTCTCTATCTCCCCATACCTATTGCTATTCCTATACTGCTAGGAACCTTCCTCGCAATCTCCAATACCTTGAAGGATACTTTCACAGCTCCCACCCGCCTCGCTCACTGCCAGGTACCTTGCCAATCCCACATTGGCTTGACGATCAACAAGTCTTTGGCTGCTGCGACAACCTCAAACTCGCCTGATCTGGTTCAGCTTGGCCATCATTCTGTAAGTCATGCCAGCCTCTTGCGCCCATATCACCACAGACATCGCCAGTCACTGCGCCTGCAGCTGCCGGCAGCCTGCATACCATTGCGTTCTGCAGCTTGCGACTGTCCTCCTTCCTCAATATGGACCGTCATCTCAAACATACTCGTTCCCTCTCGAGGCTAATCAGACGTGTAGCTAGCTTCAGAAAGCCAGACATCCACGACAAGGAGAACTGCTCCCCCGATTCAGCTCTTCTTCCTCCTCCTCCTACTCCAACCCCTCCACCACCCAAACCGGTCCCTACTACACCCCGCCAGCAAGCCTCCATTCCGATGGCTGAAGAAGAAGACTTTAGCTCCCTTCCCCTCCAGGATAGGTTTACCCACAAGGTATGACGTTGCCGCCTCTGCTGCGCCGTGTTTGACGCGCTGACGCGCCGCAGGTTTGGAAAGTCAGAAAACAGGCCTATGAAGACGCCGCAAAAGCCTTCGCTGCTACTGCCGACGAGTACGACAATGCCTTCAGACCCTTCCTCTCCGACTCGGGCCTCTGGAAAGGCGCCGTCGCCGATTCCAACGTTGCTGCCCAACAAGATGGTCTGGCGGCGTACTGCGCGTTTCTCAAATTCGGAGGAAAGGAACACTGCACAAGGACGCGCGGAACTACGATAGGGCCTATCTGTGAAAAGGGTTTGCCGTCAACGCGTGCCGCTGCCAAGGAGTCATCTCTCGAAGCCCTTCTACTACTCGTCGAACTCGATGTTGCCGCCCCAGTCATCGAAGAGATTATCCCGGCGCTTGCCAACAAGCAACCAAAGGTCGTCGCCGCGGCTATTACCGCCCTGACCGCAATCTACCACAACTTCGGATGCAAGACCGTCGACCCCAAGCCCGTGTTGAAGGTCCTCCCCAAGGCATTTGGTCATGCCGACAAGAATGTCCGTGCTGCCGCGACGAACCTTGCCGTCGAATTCTACCGATGGCTGCGCGAAGCCATGAAGCCCATGTTCTGGGGCGACTTGAAACCCACTCAGCAGACCGACCTCGAGGCGCAATTCGAAAAGATCAAGGCCGAGCCAGCTCCGAAGCAAGAACGATTCTTGCGCTCACAACAAGCCGCCATGGCACGTGCGCCCCCACCCGGAGCCGACGACGAGTACGATGATGGTGGAGACTATGGCGAGGAACCAGCCGAGATGGACGCCTTCGACCTGGCGGAACCCCAGGATGTCTTTGGCAAGATCCCCGCCAACTTTAACGAAGCCTTGGCCTCGTCCAAATGGAAGGAGAGAAAGGAAGCAGTGGAAGGTCTCTACGCGGCAATCAACGTGCCAAGAATCAAGGATGGCGACTTCAACGAGATCAACCGAGGGCTGGCAAAGTGCATGAAGGACGCCAACGTTGCTGTTGTGACTCAAGCCGCGCAGTGTATCGAGGTCTTGGCCAAGGGATTGCGGCAAGGCTACGCAAAACACCGCACTACTGTGATGCAACCCATCATGGAACGCTTGAAGGAGAAGAAGGCAACGGTGGCAGATGCTCTCGGCGCTGCGCTTGACCAAGTCTTCCTGGCTACAAGTCTGACTGACTGTCTTGAGGACATCAATACCTACCTCGTCCACAAGAACCCCCAGATCAAGGAGGGCACCATGAAGTTCTTGATTCGTTGCCTCAGAACGACACGCGATGTGCCGAGCAAGCCCGAGATCGCGTCCATTGTCGAGGCAGGCAAGAAACTGTTGACCGAGTCCAGCGAGGGCCTCCGTTCAGGCGGTGCTGAGATTTTGGGCACTGTCATGAAGATCATTGGCGAGCGCGGTATGGGTCCGCACATGGAAGGCCTAGATGATATCCGCAAGACGAAAATCAAAGAATTCTTCGAGACGGCTGAAGTCAAGGCAAAGGAGAAGCCGAAGGCACCCCCGCCAGCTGCCAAGGCACCGCCCCCGAAGAAGGTCGTCGGAGGGAAGAAGCCCCTGGGCATGAAGAGACCGGCCATGCCGGCGGCAAGCGCTCCGCCGCCCGCCGACCCGGAACCCCTCTCCCCACAAGCTTCATCCCGTCCCAAACCCGCAGGCACCAAGATGGGCATGCCGAAGCCGTCGGGCTTGGCCGGCCTCAAATCCAAGCGCCCTCTCGGTGCACCAGCGGCGGCCGGATCCCCTCGACGCCCTGCTGCCGCACCAATTATGCCCGACGATGATGAGCCTGCTCCTCCCCCGCCTCAGCCTCGCATTGGCCTTGGCAGAGGTGGTCTTGCAGGACGATCTCTTGCGAAACCTGCTGCCACTCCTGTTCAGATGCCTCCTGCATCGCCGCCGCCTTCCAGCGGACTCACGGCAATGGAGCGGGCTGAACTCGAAGAACTCAGATCGGCAAACGAGCGCCTGACACGCCAAGTGGAGGAAATGAGGCATGAAAGGAGCAAGTACATGTCTGAGATTCAAGAGTTGAAGAACCAAAATGCGGGTTTGATTGAAGACCATACCCGTGATGTCCTCAGCATCAAGGCCAAGGAGACGCAGTTGGTTCGTGCAAGAAGTGATGCAGAGGCCACGGAGTCGACGAACGATCGCCTCAGACGGGAGCTGGATCGCCTTAAGAGAGCGCTCAACCACGCCGAGGCCCTGAACTCAAGGACAGGCATGGGCAGCCCAGGTAAGATAGCAGCTTCTTCTTTCAGTGAGTGTTCATGTACTGATGTAATCGCAGGTCTTGCTTCGCCTACGCACGACGACGCCGGTATCTACCGCGACGCATCCTACGGTTCATCTTCTGCTCGACACAACCGTGTTAGTTACGCCAGCAACATGTCTGAGGAGAAGGAGAACGGAGACCATCACTACCCTCGCTCAAAGGCACTCAGTCCCGAGCTTAGGTATACGGGCAGTGCATCTTCCGGACGTGGCAGCCCTGCTAGAGGCTACAGGAGCTCTGCGGCCACCCCCGTTGATGATATACCGGCACCGTCATACTCGTCTGGCGGCGGCGGTGGAGGCGGTGGCATGAACTCGAATAACAACGGTGTGGAAAGCTGGAAGCGTGCAGCTGAAGTGACCAGCCAACTGAAAGCCAGGATTGAACAAATGAAGGTCAGTTGTCATCTTGATCTGGTATAATCTGGTTCCCATCACTAACAATTCTTAGGCGAAACAAGGATTTGCCCGTCCTTGAGCTCGACCGCCGAACCACCCGGTGCCAGATGGCCCGCTGGATACTGACGTGAACATGAAGAGGGGTTTTGTTTGGGGTCCGTAATGGTCACGGTTCAAAGGGGGGAAATCCTGCGTGTTCTTGGTTGCATATCACTGGCGTCGGAAGCATACCCTATACCTCATCTCCGGCCTGCAGTTGGGATAGGTAATTTTCGTCTGTATGAGTTATGCATTTTCACCTCTATTGTCGGCTCGCTTGTATAACCTCGAGGGGCGCGAGTGTACTTAATTAACGATGATTATGAATAAGAGTCTGCGATACCAGTCACCATGGAAGCATGATACCTTTGGCAGTTGCAAGCGTGTCATTCTCGATCTCATCGCACCGTTAGCATCGTACTTAACTAGAAGGTAAGGATTGTTATCAGTGGTAGTTGACTAGAAACCTGTCACTTATTCCCATCCAGTTCTCCAATGCGCCCAAAAATCAAAACCACCCTTCAAATCGCGA